AAAAATCATTTGGAAAATAGTACCATGGTTCCTCCATCCCCACCCCAGCACCCTAAATGTGACTTATCCTTCCCTTCAAACGTCCTTAGCTTCAGCTGTACACATGTAACATATGTCTTCAGAATTCTCTGGGCCAGCAGAAGATATGGCAGCAGGTTAACAGGCTGTAAAAAAAAGATTTTGAACCTTCCATTCTATGTTGTGACCTATTTTGACCACATCAGATCAGTGGGTATGGACAGTGCCAGCATGGACTTGTTAGAGTAGAAATGGAGCTAAAATGAACTTCAGAAATTTTGCTCATGCAAGTGGGGCAGCACATCTACATATCCAAAAAGCAGCTTCAGGTGCCCTTGTGATTTATGTTTGCCATTATTTCTGCAGGTACCTACATAATTATGATTACTGCTTACAGTGAATAAATTTGTGCTGAGATATCATAATATTGTCTGAGTACGTGTCCTTGCCTGGCAGTTGGATAAGGCTGAGTCTATGTTTAGTTTCACACAACCCTAGGAATATGATATATTCAGAGAAACGTATTGCTCTCAAAGATTTGACAAATTAAGCTTTCTCAGACCAGTTGATAAGCCCAAGAGATTTACACTGTTAAAAATTTATTGGTACTTTATGGGAAATCAATGCATCATTTTATCTTAAAGTGTCCATTATTTGGTAGTAATATAAACTTAGCTTAAAACATTAACAGAAAGCAAAGTAATTTATCAGGCTTGTGGCTTACAAGCATAAATGTCAAAGAGCTCTACTTAATTTTTCATTTTCAAGTTCAATTTGCTAACCAGTTTTGAGTCTTAGGGGATGAAAACTTTGGCTACTAGCTTTGAAGAACCTCCATTGGCTTTAGAAGAAAGCTCAGGTTTACACAGCCAAAGAGTTAAATTTTAAAGGATTTCAGCTTGGTATGCAGTGATTTCTAGGAACATTTAGAAAAATATATTACCTGGTAAAATTAACTGAAGCTTCTACATGAACAAGACTTGATATAAATACTAGATGAGATTTATGGTGAAACAATTGCATTTTACCAGCAATTGTACCAGAGATCCATCCAGATGCTTATAAAAGTACTGTAGATATCAACATAAGAAGAACTCTATCAAGAAGGAATGAACTCCATTGAATCACTGTGCTATATTGAGGTTCTCATTTTATTTGTTTTTAATGATGAAAATAGATATAACTTCCTAAGCCAACTTGTCCATAAAAATCCACAGGATCTAGACCAGAACTGCTAATGGAAACTGTTTATTGGTTCGCCAAATAATTTATAAGGTTTGGACACATTAAATGGAAACACATTAAGGAATGATGTCACAACTCTAAATGTATACTGCTGCCATTCTGTTGCATTCACCAAGAATGAACTGATTGTAGCAAGTGCATTCAGGAATGCTGTAATGGTTGTGCAGAAATAAGAATGTTTTTCCATTTTTACAAGCCATCAAAATACACAGGAGAGTTTTATAAGAAAGCAGGAAACAATAGCCTCCAGATGAGATGCGGTATCCTCAGTGATTGCTTGCAGTCCCAAGAATAGCAAAGTCTAACAGTGTATTTTCTCAAGGGGCCACTTGTGATTGCAAAGCCTGAAATGACCAAGAAGATTAAAGTACAAGGTGTGGCTTTATCTGAAGGTCTGCACAAAATCAGTTTGCTTGGTAGAAGATTTGCCATTGCTTATTGCCATTGTCTTTAAGCCTATACAGTGGTACCTCGGGTTAAGTACTTAATTCGTTCCAGAGGTCCGTTCTTAACCTGAAACTGTTCTTAACCTGAAGCATCACTTTAGCTAATGGGGCCTCCTTTACCTTTTACAGACAGGATTCTATTCTAAACTGGCTAAGGGGTTCTGTGAGACTTTAAGATTAGTAAACTTCTACTACCCACAAGTATAAGCAGCACCAAGGTAAGTGACAAACAGCTCACTCCCTCATTCCTGGACTCCTGTAGCTATATGAAGGAAATGCACTTTTTGCATTCAAATCTAAACTGAAATCTAAACTGAAAAATTTAATCAGGTTGCAGTCCTAAGCATGCTCACTCCTTCAGAACTAAACCATGGAGGAAATGTGTTTAGAATTGGAGCCTTAATATATAATATAATATAACATTATTATTTCTCTTTCAGAAATCTAACCAATGAGGAAAAAAGCTCACCCACACTTTGTCCTTTTTTGAAGTTTCTCTTTTGGTGTCACCACTGTGACCACAAATTTATATTTTCTTCTCCACAGTCCAGTCAACTCAGGATCAAAGCGGTAATAACTTCTACCAAAAAAGGTTAACCATTACTGAGCTGTCTCTAAGATGTGGAAGGAATGCGAAATCTCTAACTGATTAAAATCACAACAAATAGCTAGGAAATGGCTGAATAAATAAACATAATGGGAGCTGAAGACATCACTGTGGAGGAAATGAATGATGGAAGCAATGACCTGGTGATAATTCCAGTTGCTGATGGAATTTAGGTTCAAGATATCAGACTACTATTGTTTACACTTGGCTTATGGCTTTGGGTGGGTGCCTAATGGCAGTAAAGAACCTTCGAAATAGTATGGAGAGCAACAGAATCAACTTGTTTCTGAGAGAATAGATCAAAATACCAATTTAACTTTTAATTTTTTATGAAACACTAAGAAATATCAACAGATCATGCTTGAACAGACTGAACTGTGCTTTGGGAGACTCAATTCTAACTGCACTAACATTGAAAAAAGTGGGACTTCTGAGTAAACATGCATAGGCATGAGCAGATAGCAATGATATTAGGCTAAAAAGAGGACCTAATGGGTTCTGTGGGTGATTTAAGAATGTTATTCTTCTGTTTGTAAATGGTTTTACATGATTTTAATATTCTATTTTTACATGACTGTGAACCACCCAGGGACCTTATGGCGAATGGTGGGTAAGAAATCTAAAATCCATTATTGTTGTTGTTATAGGTTGAATACCAGTGATGTCACCCTGCTCGTGGCACCATTTCTCAGACTAATAAAGTTGCAAAATCTTCCATTGGAGGTGGCTCTTAATTAACAAGGCTGCTAAGGCTTGTCTTCTCACTTCCTTCTGGCTAATGATGGAATGTGAAAACAATAGCTTCACCCAGACAGCATCCCAGAACATGACATGAATGCAGGATGGCAGGATGGCAGACTGGTATGATTGCAGGACTGTTTTCCCTCCTTATGTGGCCTCGGATCTTTCAAAAATAAACATCTCAGGTGCCACAAAGTTGAGCTTCATAAAATGTCTTTAGTTTAGCATCTGCTACTCAGGTGTTGGCTGAAGGTCAAACTAGAAATGAATGCAGGCATCCCCCCCAAATACAGTACGCATGTCCAACTCGCACACAACCATCTATATGTGCCGTGCCAGGAAATAAATGAACAAATTGATTAGCTCCTTGAAACCATCGCATAAACACAGTTAACATCATGTTGAGAGTCGTACTGGGATGGTGGCTTCTGCAGTATGGCTTGTCATGTGGTTAGCTGGCTTGTGTAATTGATCTCTAGTGGAGCTGGTGTAATGAAATCTATGTACAGTTACAGGGAGTCGATGGCCATTTTTTCTTCAGCTCCTTATGACTCTGCTGTTCCAAACTTTTTCAGTGGAGTCCTATGCATGTTTTACTCAGTTTCCTCAGTCCCACTGAATTGAGAGGGGCTAACTCTAAATTAAGTGGGCTACAACTACAATGCTATAAATAAATAAAAAAGAAAGAAAATGTTTATTTAAATCACTGTGCATATTTGTTACTATTCCTCAACCTGCAATGCTCTGGGAATAAGCTGTAAAGTAGTCACCATATACCCCACACTTCTGCTTGTCCTGTGCTTAGAAAGCCTTGGCCCGATCCTTTCAAAGGAGAAAACTGCTCTTTAGCTCTAAATTGGAACAAACATCAATCCAGAGAAAACCCGAATTGCCATATAAAGTTCCATGTCAGAGTGATTCCCCCCTCCTCCCTCCAGAAGTTTCCCAGCAAAAACACACTCTTTAAAGCTGAAGCTGAGCAAATAGCAATCTGTCGAAAACACCAATTGTGCTTAAGCTTTAAAGAACAGGTTTTTGCAGGGAAAGTTCTAGAGCAAAAAGTAGAAGAAAAAAGTACTCCAACACAAGAGTTTTAAAGTGCAGAACTGTGTCTGGAAAGAGTGGTACAAAAGTTAAGTGTGGATAAGTCCTGCGACTGAGTGCTAAAAAGCAGTTTTACTTGGGAGAAAGGAGCAGGACAAGTGTGGATATGCCCAGTTTAGTAAAAATGTGTTTGTGTAGTTGTGTGTGTTTTTTTTTAACAAACATGCCCTATAGAGAATATCAGGACTTTCCTAATGCAGTGATTCACCTGAGGCAGGAACCAGAAAATTGGGGTTGTTCTGGGTAAATCTATCACAATGAAAATATACATTTGGGCCAGTGTGCCTGGTATAGAACCACAACGCCTTCCATTGCAAAACAAAAAACAAACAAAAAGGCAGTTTATCTTTATTGGTTTATTACACATAGTTGTGGTTGTTTATGTAAAGATCCTGGTCCTGTGCATACTTGCATCAATATCTTCCAATGTTAATGGACTTGCACGCCCTCATATGCAAAAATGATCAAAAGAAAGTTTGGCGTATTCACTGGAAGAAGAAAAAAAGGGAATTTTGCATTCATCCATATTACAAAGAAAAAAGTTTTATGTGACTTTTTTTAAAAAAGGAAGCGACTTCATACTCATTAACGCAGCAGAGTTTGTTGCTTTTTCAGACCTTGGTGCGACACTGCCCACTGTTGAGCACCCGGCCAGCCAGCTAGCTAGCTGAACATGTTAAGCAAATATTATCATTATTCTGTCATAATCCGGAAACGCGCGCCCTCTGGCGGCCAGGATGAGCGACAGCGATGACTGCTGCTCTGGGGGTTTTGAAACGGGCGAAGACTGAAAGTGGGCGGGTTTCTGATGGAGGCGGGGCCCAGTCCTTGCTGCTGCAGCCGCCTTCCTATTGAGTCAGAGGCGCGTTGCGAGCTGAAAGCGATTGTAACAAACAGAAGCCCGAAGAGCGAGCTAGGCGGGCGTTCTGATTAGCGCGCTGGGACAAAGTAAAAGAATCTCGGGAGGCTGAACGTTCCAAAGAAAGTTACATTCCAGGGTCGGAGCAGCAGCAACAAGCGGCCGCCCGGGGGGCACTTTCTCACGGAGGCGGTGGGTCTTCCCAGCCCTTGTTGAGCGAGGGCGAAGAGGAGGAGGCGAAGGACGAGGGGGGGTTTCAAACTGGGGGCCGAGAAAATGAATCGGAGCTTTAATAAATCTCAGAGTCTGCGGTATTTTGGCTACGGCGCGGTGGAAGTGAAAAGTAAGGTAAGGACAGAAGGAATAGCTACTTGCAGCCCGGATTAACCTTCCTTCCCCCCCCCCGCCTTCCAGTACCTTTCCCCCACCTCCTCTAACTTCTTTTTAAAATGAATGGAGACCCCCCCCATCTCCTTGCATCCTCCCGCCCCCTCCCCTTATGATGCTTTGTCTTGCGTCTGAAAAAAACGAGATTGCTCTAGTTTTCCACCGGAGGGAAGAAACTCCGGCAGCAACTTATTTTTTTCCTTTTAAACGTGTCTGCGTCAATTTATGAAAGAATATAAGGGAATATTCTGCCCACCAGCCCCCCCCCCTTGACTTGCTATGAAACACATGTTTTCCCTTCTCTCTCCACCATAGGGGACGTATCCCATAGCAACTTGTCCCGAGATCTCTAGGGTGTTCGTCGTGAGGGGTGGGTTTACGTCTCCGCCTGGACATTTTCCACCGATTTTGTTTTTGTTTCAATGTGGCTTCGGGGGCGCCTGGATCTTTAATCTCCGGCTTCGTCGGCTTGCTGGGCTCAGGCGGCGATCGCGGCACGTTTCTTGCTGGTGGGCCGTTCACAACAAAAGGGCTTTCCAACTAGGGCGGCGGGAGGTGGGGTGGGGGGAGCTCGGGGTCGAAAGAGGAGCAGGTTAGGCTCGCTCAGATCTGGATTAGTGAACCTCAAAAGAGGAGGGCTGATTAGAGGGGGGATGCTGTTGCCGCAAAGCCCCCCCCCACCCCCCACTCCTCCCCCACGCGCTCGCGGTCGAGTTAAACTTGATCGCCACTCGCGTGGGAGTGAGTGAGTCCAGTCCCTGCAAAACGCTCGGCTGCCTCTGCTTAACGTTTCCCATTGTTCCTCCTTATGGAAGTACTTCGAAACCTTTGTGTTTTGGTTTGAAAATATTGCAGTGGACGCGGGAAGGGACGACTGGACTGCAGACACGGGGGGTGGGGGTAGAGTATTATTTCTCTCCTCTGGAGTTCTCCTCAAGAAACGCCAGGCAGCCTGCTGCTAAATCCCATACTGGCCCTCTTGAATCTGCTCCTGGCCTTGTTGCTGCCTTGCAGGTCTTGAGCTCTGCGAACTCGCTCTCTTTAATTCGTGTTTAAACTTGTTTGGAGAGTAGTAGACTCCCTTTCTCCCTCTCCCTTTTCCCGGTGCCACCTGATCTCTCAGCTCTTCCTTCGTCGCGGGTGGGGTGAGGGGAGGAGGGAAGTGCTTGCGCGTTACCAAACGTAGTCTTCACGTTTTTGGTGTTTCCCGCTGAAAGGACACAACTCTGACTTTAAGTGCATTCGGATCTATTTGCACTACACCCTCTCAATCTGTCCGCCCCACCCCAAACTTGCTGTCTTTTTGAAGAGGCCTTTAAGTAAAGCCTGCCTTTCTTGCCCTAGGACGAAGGTGTAAACTTGTAATGAGGGATAAATTACAGGCATCTCAAGTCTATGCTTGGAATTCTGCTTCATAGCTCCAAGAGCTTCCGGTTTTCAGATAAATCAGCCAAGGGATGGGAGGGGACCATAACATAAGAAGAGACTTGTTGAATCTACCCAAGGGTCCATCTAGCCCTCAGATGATGTTTGCGTACTCTACACCAACCATTAGCCCCCATCAACATGGCCAATGATGGGAGATGTAGTCAAGCAACATTTGGAGGACCAGAGGTTGCCCGTCCCTGATCAGTTCCATAAACCAGCCAACCAGGTGTAAGGGGTGAAGGCAACAACTTTTACCCCATTTTATGCTCTTAGCCTTTGGTATTCAGAGGCGTATTGCCTCCCAACATGGATGTTGAATTTAGCTGTCATTGCCAATACCCATTGATGGAGATACCTGCCATGAATTGTCATTTTAGAAGCTATCTAATGTAGTGGCCATCGTCACATCCTGTGGCAGTGAATTCCGTAAGTTAACTAGGTGTGTGAAATAGCACTTCCTGTTTTCATGTGTACAGATAGATGATTTTGGCGAGGGACTCAAAGTTCTAGTAGTAGTAAGGGGGGGGAGTAAGAATGCATTTTGTCTATCCTCTTCCTACCATTCATAATTTTGTAAATTCCTGTTAATTCTCTCCCCCCCCCCTTGGACTAATAAGAGCACTTTAGTCTTTCATCATAGCGAAGGTACTTGAGCCCTTTGAGCATAGTGAAGACTTGCCCTTTTGTGTGCTTGCATGGCATGCCTGCTATGACAAGTTTGCTAGAGTTGCCATATTTCAAAAAGTGAAAATCTGGATACAAAAGTTGTTGAACATTTTTTTGCAAAGTTGCTGCGTTTTTTGGGGGGGGAGGTTGTGGCAAAGTTTGAGTTTTTGAGCTATTTTTAATGCAAATCGTCAAACTCTACACTATTGACATGGACTGCCATATGTCTGGACTTTCCTGGACATTGCAGTGATTTCTGCCCAGACGCTTTCAGGGGGCTGAATACCAGCTATGTCTGGAAAATTCTGGACGTATGGCAACCCTGACTTAGCATCATTACATCCCAAAGCCCCTGCTCAAGCAGGGGAGGCAGCTATCCTTGAAACAGCATGAGGCCAGATTTGCCCTCTGCTTTTGTCAGGAGTTGTGCCATTCCAGGCAGCTTACCTATGACAAATGTATGCGTGGTTTTGAGACGTATGTTAATGAACTACACCAGAGAGGTGGAGTAGCCATGGCCCTCTCTAGGTGTTGCCGGACTCCAGCTCCCATCATCCCCAGGCATTGTGGCCAGTAATCAGGGAAGGATGATAGGAATTGTAGCCCACCAACATCTGGAAGGCCTCCTCTTTCCCAAATCACTCTAGCCTCACCTTATCTGTATTCCTACAGCTACCTTACTTTCCCGCCCACTTTTCTTTCTTTAGTTCTCATTCTTTATTTTATTTGTTTATTTATTTATTTATTCTTGGCTTTGCCTTCCAAACTTGCCTTGAACGTGTAAGATCCACAGCAATACCTCTGGGTAGGGGTTGCATCGCCTCTGTGTTCTCAACAGCTTATAGAAAAATGTTTAAATGGTGGCAAGAGTCCTTCTGTGGACAATGCAAGCTGAAATTAGAAAGAACTGGATTTTGGTTCCTGTTCTGCCACTGACTGAGCAAATTCCTCACTGTTTCCCCCACTTTATTTGGTCGTTTAAAGAGGGGTGCACTAAGATATGCCCATGTTTGTTGGACTCTTTCATACCAATCAGTGTTGGCCAACAAGGCCAGTGGACAGGGATGATGGGCGTTGTAACCCAACAACCTCTGGACAACCACAGGTTCGCCATCCCTGTTGTGAAACCAACAGAGGTCTCTGGGTATTGTAGATTTTTATGTTGTATGTTAGGGATGAGTTGCTTTTCTTTGTTTCAAAATTGTGGGTGCTTGACTTTACTTTGGGTGAAGTATAGGGAACTGGGGAGGCTGCCTTGCACCCAGCCAGACCATTGCTCCATCTGACAGAGGTACTTCTGTTGCATTCTTGGAGATGCTGGGGATTTGAATTTGGGACTGTCTGCGTACAGAGCAGATGTTCTGCAACTGAGTTGCATGAAATAGCCAGCTGGCTGCCTTTCCCCTTCATATTCCAATAAATCTTGTATCTCTCTCAACGGTCTTAGTATTGCACATTTAGAACACAGACTTCTGAGACTTCATTGCAGTGCAAGCTCTGATAATAGGCAGTAGAAAGGCCATGCTGTCAGAAGTGTGAGCTGTACTTAGCATCCTTTGAATGAACTGTTCTGAAGGAATAATTTGGTTGTGTATATGTAAATACTAGTCCTTAATCCCTGTCACCCAGACTAGTTTGCTAGGATTCATACAGACAATCTGATATACACATAAAGTATGTCTATAGGTAACTGTTTTGGCTGCCTTATGTTACTGCCTGTTAAACCGGAAGTGCTTCATAATGATACAGTAACATTTTTAGTGATACAGTGTAGACCCTCAAGGGACGCGGGTGGCGCTGTGGTGTAAACCACTGAGCCTTGGGCTTGCTGATCGGAAGATTGGTGGTTTGAATCCCTACAACGGGGTGCGCTCCCGTTGTTCAGTCCCGGCTCCTGCCAACCTAGCAGTTTGAAAGCACGTCAAAGTGCAAGTAGATGAATAGGTACCGCTCTGGCGGGAAGGTAACGGTGTTTCCGTGCACTGCTCTGGTTCGCCAGAAGTGGCTTAGTCATGCTGGCCACATGACCCGGAAGCTGTACGCCGGCTCCCTTGGCCAATAAAGCGAGATGAGCACCGCAACCCCAGAGTCATTCGTGACTGCACTTAACTGTCAGGGGTCCTTTACCTTTACCTTATAGACCCTCAAAGGCAAGGTTTGACAGTTGCAACACTGATGGTGTACCATTCATGTTAACTCCTTTTCAAGAGTATTTGTTTGACCAAGTACCTGAAGTAGTTATTAACCAACAGCATACCTCCTGTGATATGTGAGTTTTCCAGTCATGCTCAGAAGTACATACAGGTTACTAGATGTAAGAGAGTAGCATACTCTACACAATCAGTTACTACTGGTGGTATTCTGTCACTTAACATTGATTCCTAGGACTGTTATTGCTACCATCAATTACACTCAAGTTGTATATTAGAGTAGCAATCATAATATATTGAGTGCCTTGGTGGTGGAATGTTTTCCCATTAGACATGACTACAGGACTAATGAAGAGAGAATGCTACGGATGTTTGTTTTTTAAAACCATCTATGGCATGAGGTTGTGACACAGGCTCTGTGTGATTTACCTGGAAGGCAGGGCAGAGGTTGTTAGACAGCTAAGGAAAAATGTTGTTTTGACCAAGAGTAACATACTTTTGGATGATTAACTCCACACAACTGCATTTCTAGAAAATTGATTGATTGTGACGATTAGCGTCCTTGTTCTCAGGTCTTGCTCCAGGCAGAGGTAATGTTCCTCACTAGAGTCTTGAGAAATATTTAGGTAAAGGGGCTGCCGGACATAATAAACAAAGTATCTCCAAAGTGTGTGCCTCCTCTGCTTTGATATGAGAAAGTACTTCAACATGTAGACA